CCCACAAGGGCCAGATCCATCCACAGCCTCTCTTTGTATTGAATAAATAAAGTTTTACTGGAACACAGCCCTACCCGTTGGTTTACAAATTGTCTGTGGCTATTTCATTCTAAATGATAGAATTGAGTATCAGTTGATAGAATTGAGTAGTTGCAGCCCTCAAACCCTAAAATATTTACCATCTGTCCCTTTATCAATAAATAAATAAATAAAGTCACTCTGGCTCTAAAGAGCAGTTCCCAGAGTTTGGTCCTCAAGCCAGTAGCATCGCCACCACTGGACACCTCCAGGCCTCCTCCAGGCCTCCCCCGGGACCCACTCCGTGAGACATTCTGGGCGTAGGTCCCAGCAGTCTGCCTGTAGTAAGCCCTTCAGGTGACTCAGAAAGCCCCCAGTCTGGATTCCTGGCCCGGTGGCTAATGACGTGGGCTTGATGACAGCCAGGCAGAGTCTAGGAAAAACAGATCGCTAAGAGGCAAGGGAATACTATCAGAAAACAAGACTGGGGTGGGGGAGGGGATCCAATGACTCTCTAATGGTGCATCTGAGCTATGAATTCCATGGAGGAAGGAACTCCCTGTTGTGTCCCACTGCCTCGCCCGGCACCGCCCGCGTGTGTGTGTGTGTGAGTGAGTGTGTGAGTGAATGAGTGCAGGCGTGCATGCGGGCTTGGACTGGGGCCAGTCCCAAAATGGGACTCCGGGGCCAGCGCATGGAATCAGGAAAATAGGTTCACCTGGCAGGTGTGGCTCAGGACTGAGGCTGAAACCCATTTATAGCAAGAAAATATTACTGAACACCAAAGAGCAGAGGCATGTTTAAGAACCTGATGATTTGAATGAAATTCTTTCATTTAATCTCCATTTTACTCCCCATTCCCTGCCTTTGGCTGCGTATTGGTTCTGGGGATTTTGTTTTTACAGTCATTGCTCAGCTGTACCTCCATTTGACCTTAGATAATTTACTCAAACTTCCCAAAGCTATTAACTGAATTAATAAATGTGAAGCTCTTAGTGTCTGGTACATTTCCTCTATTAAGGAAATATTTTGTCATATTCCTAGTCACGATCTTACTTCTTGTTGGGAAAAAAACATGGTTACCAAATATCACTAGCATTTTATCCATATTGACTCTGGTAAAACTTTGCTTATCAATATTATTTCTTTATTTGTTTTTTAAGAGATTTCTGCCAAAGAGTTCATATTGCAATCTGAAGTCTAAGTTGATCTGAGTTTAATTATTCTACCTTTTGCCACTTAGGAACATATCACAAACTTTTTTAAAAAAACAAAAAATACTTAAAAAAAATTGCTAATATGGTAATAGGTCATTTTGAGGTTCTGTTATTTAGCAAAATATGCATGTGTTGATTAAAAATAGAATATATAAATCTATCATAATTCATTTCACCCTATAGTTTTTAAGAACTCTGTGTGTAGCTTTTTATATTCACTAGGGTTGAAATTTTACATTTATATGCCTTTTGAAGAATTCTGCATATATTATGAACATGTGAAAAAGAAAATAAGATTATTGAGGGCTTTACTAGGTGAATAAATATTATTTCATGATTTTTCAGTGATAACTAAATATATATTATGTCAAGGAGTCATCAACTTGAAACCTTTATAACTGTTGGCAGAGTGACATTTTGAAAGTAAAATTAGTGTTTGGGTTTTATTTTTTAATTCCATAAATGCCATGGGAATTTTATCATGTTTCAACACTTGCTGAATATGTAATTCCCATAGTGCCCATTAGTGGCCATCTGTGTAAGGTAATACATGTTTGGGATGAAATTGATTATGGTCTAAACACTCTTGTGTTATGATCAGGAAAAGCACGCAGAGGTCACATCTTTTTTTCTAATGATCTTTATGGAGCTAACGATGTTAATTTCCAGAGGCAGAACAGCCTATCACTCAAGATCCTAATCTCACAATAAGGGACACCAGGGCCAAGGAGGCCGGGGAGACTGCCGCTAAAATGAATCAGTGCTGGACTCAAAGAGCTCTCAGGATAAAAGGAAAATTAGCAGGCTTTGCAACACATTATTTCCTTTGTAAGCATCAACGTGAACCCATTGCAGTTTTGCTGAATATTCAGAAATAGTTGACGACCCTTTAGAAATTCCTGTTATAGCCACCAACACACTTCAAGTTCCCCTTCCCTATAATAGTAATCAGCATATACATTGCTGGTCCTGTATATTATTTTTGCCTGGTTTGAAATTATTTTTTCTTTTTATCTGTGCGAAACCAGGTGCTTTCAGTCTTTCAGATACATCTGCAATGTTGTCTCCTCAGTGCGTTTTATTTTTATTAGACTTGTGCATGGTAGTGTAGACCTGTGTACTTCCTGAGCTCATGTATTCCCTCAGAGGAGAGCTGGAAAGCATATGAATATACTTGTTTCTATACTCCAATGAATATATTCACATCTTGCCTCTCACATTATCTACCTTGTCTACTTGTGAAACGTATTATAAAAAGATAATGTTTTGGTTTAGAAAATTTCGACTACTTGTATTACTGAACTATCCCCATGATCATCTTAAAATCTTACCAGGTCTCTGTAGACTCTGTAGCATATGAACACGGCTGTCTCCTGATCTTCCCTGGGCTATGGGCCAGAATGATTTAGGTTCAAATTCCCTAACAGTAGACAAAAGAATTGATAGAATCATTGTCTAAACACTGAAATACAGCAATTGCAGTGTTGGCATAGTTGATGCTGAACTGTTCTTCCTCTTCATTCTTGAGCTTCTTGATGATAATTATTCATCAGGTTATGATAGATTTCAAATCTGCTTTCCATTAAAGATAACAAAATAATACTGTCTCCTCAAAGAAGGAAATTTGCTTTCCTGTCTTATATTTTATATACTAAGAAGTCATGCATCAAGTGCTTCTAATAGCTTTATAAGTTATTTGGAATATATTGAAAAGAAAATAGTCTAGAGTACAGCAATACTTAATAACATGTGGATTTTAGATTTTTTTTTCCAGTCATTCACTCACTCAGTACACATACTGCTACAAAGATGAACAAGACATGGTCCCAAATCTTGAACAAAACTACCTGAGTCATACACTTAAATAGCTAATCTTAATATGATAAATTAAGATGCGTAAAGAAGAGCAAACTTCTGTCAGAGCACAGCAGAGGGGACAACTTGTTTTAGGAGATGAAGGAACGCCTCAAAGAAGCAGTAGCTTTTGAGTTGGGCCTTACAGAACAAGCCAAGTGTTTGCAGGCAAGGAGACAGGAGCTGTGGGTGTGCATATCCATGCACAAACACGCCCATACACACATGGACATACAAACAGTAGTGCACAGGCATTCCCCGCTATATTGAAGCATGTGGCAGAGACTGATGGCTGGCTAATTTATCAACATGCCCTTCCCCCTTCTGCCTGTCACCTCTACTATGGAGTCTTGAAAAGCTAAATACAAATAATGAGAGTTTAACATATTTAGAAATACTCTGAGGACTTTTAGGAACATTTTTGCTTTTCAAGTAAGAGATAAATACAGTTGGTATTACCCTCTTCTTGTCTTCTTTGTGGCTGGCACAATTCTAGCTGTGACAGCCACCTGGAGACATTGACAGAGACCTAGAGAATGAGTTGATATATGACTGAGCCACCGAACTAATACCCACAACTTCCTACTTAGATGCTACTTACATGAGGAAAACTCAATTTTTATTAAAGCCCTTGTTAATCAGATTTTTCTATTTATAGCAAAAAGTACTCCTAATTAATATACTCATAAAGTAAACACACACTGATTCTTACTTGTTTGTATATATATTTGATTTTATTTCATGCCTCCTAAGACTTGGAACTAATTTTAGACTCCCGTTTTGGTGATAAGTAAATAGACCCTAACGTTAGAGGAAAATGGGAAATGGAATGCTTTCTTTGTTATTACCAACCTGGGCACTATTGTTAGTGCTTCCTTCCCCTTGATTCTGTTCTGTCCTTGTCTTTTATTTTAAATAAAAAATGAAGGCAAGAATGGAGAAAAAGTTTGAAAAGAAAGATGTGAAAAATCAGTCATGCTGGAGGTTAGATTTCAGGGAAAATAGCGTATGACTGAGGCAGTGGCACTAGCTAGCTGGGCACATGATGAAAAGAAAGTTTTAAGTCTTAGTCTATCACTGTGCATTCCTATGTATTTTCCCTAACAGCTAAGAGATTAAACAAAGAGCATCAAACAAGAACATCATTACCTGTATCTATCTGGCAAGCCAGGTTTCCCTAACAGCTAAGAGATTGTTCTCTTTTTCCCTCCATTTAGGAAGATGGGAGTTGAAATTATTCTTTGTGAGACTAGAACAACTTTCCATAGAGCATATTGGTTATGTTTAGTCTTGTATGAACGGTACCACCTAATGAGCAAGAGATCTTTAATGGACTCTGGCCTTCTACTATGCAAATGTGAAACAATTAGAAAAACACTCAAGCTGTCCTTTTCACAGAGACTAATGCTATCACTTTGTTTATTGTTCTTCATCATTTCTAATTGTAACATGTGTATATATTTCCAGACACTGCATCAAATTATAATTTAATAATACCAGTGTATTTCCTTATTCTTTTTCGAATGGGCTTGGAAGATTGTTTCTTGACTGTGGTGATCTTCCATAGTTTTTGGTTTGGGCCAAGGCAGGGTTTCATGCCTGCTTCTTTCAAACTGACTTGATTTGCCCCTTTATGTTGTTTTTGTTGCGTTGCTGTTGATTTTAGAATCAGTTTCTCACCTCAGAGAGAAGTCAGGTAGGACATGTGGCCTCATTCCCATGCCAGAAACACTAGATGAAAGTCAGGGATCCTCAGGAGAGGCAACTCAGTAGACTCATGGAAATTTACACCAGTGTCCATGAATTACTATTCACCTTTGCCTTCAAAGCATCTACACACTCGTTTTTTTGTTCTTAGAGAAGCTAAACTGGTCTAATCTTCTTAAAATGTTTACCACTTGTTTTCCCCAGAATCTTCAGCTACTTGGAGCTACAGCCATTGAGGATAAATTACAAGATCAAGTGCCTGAAACCATAGAAACTCTCATGAAAGCAGACATCAAAATCTGGATCCTCACAGGGGACAAGCAAGAAACTGCCATTAACATTGGTAATTCACCTAATTCACACTTTAAATTGTGATGCTTTTAAACAGCTTGATACCTTATAGAAGATAAATAGGGGATCTTTTAAGATTTGAAAGATTTGGTACTTTAAGATTTCCATATTTATGTTATTGGGCAAATCTATCTATGTTATGTCCCCAGTGCCTCTTTGAAATTGCAGTCCAGCCTAGCCGTAGCTCGCTCCCGCGGCCACAGCCACTTAGTACCTGCTCTCCCCTTTGCATCGCTGCCTGCCTCCCCCTTCCATCCACAGTTGACACATGTGATAACATTTCTGCCGTCATCTGTGAAAGTCTAGAAATGGGGATCATAGCAGGTTGTGTACTGATGCTTGTTTATTTGACCAAAGGTTATTTCCAAGAAAGGAAGTAAGAAGGTTGCCAGTTTCCATTCATTTGCAGTTAATTCCATTCTTTGGAAAGAGGTTATGAGCTCAGGCTGCCATAACAGAATGCCACAAGTCGGGTGGCATAAACAACAGAAACAAGTTTTCTCCCAGCTCTGGAGGCTGGAAGTCCAAGATCAAAGTGTCAGCAGGTTTGGTTTCTCCTGAGGTCCATTTTCCTGGCTTGCAGATGGCCGCCTTCTCACTGTGTCCTCACATGGCCTTTCCACTGTGTGCGGGTATTCTTGCTGTCCCTTCCTGTAGGGACACCAGTCCTATTGGATCAGGCCACATCCTTATGATCTTTAATTAACTTTTTAAAGTCCCTCTCTCCAAATGCAATCACATTGTGGGTTAGGAATTAAGTGTGTAAATTTGTGGGGAGCATAATTCAGTCTATAACAGAGATCTTGCTGAGAAGAAAGTCAATTTTTGGTGTCAGAGGCCTGTGGTACCAATAATATCCAAGAAAATGACACTCCCTTTTCCCAAATTCAGTAATGGTAGGTTTCTTGAGCACTGTAAACCTTGACATTGACTCAGCCTCTGGATATTAATGATGCGAATTACATACAAAACTCTCCCAAAGTCAAACAAACCATTTTAGAGATGTTCACAGCATGGAACCACAGTTTCAGAAAGTCATGCTAAAGCATCATCTGTCCAAAAACATTTAGCTAATAATCCTTTTAGAAGTGTTAGTGATCGTAGTATTCAGTATGCATAAAAGTACCACAAATTTATAGTAAAGGGATGTTAATAGAGTGAAATTAAATTTTAAAAAACACTATCTACAAGTTGAAATCTATGAGCCACACAGGTCATTAATTTTGATGATAAATACAATCACTGGTGTTAGAGACAAAATGGAAAGGAATGTACAAGAATACAGAATGCATCAGAGTTTACCTGAGAAACACAAATAGGATAAAACCTGATTACAGATAGAGGAAGAATATATGATAGTTAAGAGTATTATTTGGGGGAAGAAAGAAATTGTGAAAAGAGCTCAGAATATGTAGCCAAATGAAAGGTCCTATGAAAAGAGTATGGTGGGAGTTTCTGGTCACATGTTACACTTGGACTCTTGTTCCTAGGAAAGGCCAGGTGAGATTCATTCGTTTAGCAAATGGTAACAGCACCCGCAGTGCCAGGCACCTGCTAAGAGCAAGGAACAAAGCAAACCAAAACCTCTGCCCACCTGGAGCTCACACCCTAGTCAGGGAAACACGATAAAGGAAGTGAGGAAGACAGATAGTATATTAGATGCAATAATTGCTATAAAGAAAAATAAAGCAGGAAAGGGAGATAAGGCCTTGCACAGAGGGATTGAGTTTTAAACCTTGAGGTCAGGAAGACCGCATTGAAAAGGTGAAATTGACAAATGACGGAAGAGGAGAGAAGGAGCCTGTCACTTGAGTGATTAGGGGAGGCTGTCTTTTGTTCTAGGCAGAAATACAAAAGCAGAAATACAAAAGGCAGGAGTAGGAGAAGAGGCCAGCAGCATAACTGAACCCAGGTTGGATGGGGCCTCCTGGCCTGTTGTCCAGACTTAGTGTTTATGCTGAGTGAACAGGAAACTGTTGGACAGTTCTGAGCAGAGGAAAGACATGATCTGACTTTCCTATGAAAACAATCAGTTTGGCTGCTAGATGAGAATTAACTCAAAGGAAAGCAAATGTGGAAGCAGGGAGACCAATGAAGAAGCCGATGGATAAATCCAGGTGAGACATGCGTGTGGGTTGGACCCAGGTGTTTACAGTGGAGGTGCTGAGAAATGGTTGGATTCTGGATATACAAGGTCCAACACAAATAATGTCCCTTTTTTATTACAAAACCTTTTAATTCAAAATCATAAACATGTAATTCTGTAACATACCGGTATCACACTCAAGCATACCATGTGACATTTTACGTGAAATGTTCAAATTAAAACTATAAATTACTACACCCATTTTATTACCCTGCCAACCACAGAAGAAGAGGTGTTACTTCTGCTGGGCCCTCTATTTTAAACGTAGAGCCTACAGTATTGACTGGCAGATTAACTGTAGAGTGCAAGAGAAAGAGAGGAATCAAGGGTAACTCCAAAGATTTTAGCTGTAGCAGCTGAAGGATGGCATTGCCATTAACCAAAATGAGAAAGACGGGAGGAGGAGCAGGTTTTCTGGGAGAAGCCAGGATATAGATATGTTAAGTTCCCAATGCCTGTTTTATACCTAAGTGTCTGCTGTTAAGTAGGCACTGGGGTGTGGGAGTCTGAAGTTCAGGAAAGAGATCTTAGCAGGAGATAGGAGTTCCAGAATGGTCATCATTTAGATGGCATCTAAAACCATGGGAAGGAATGAGATCATGGAGGATAGACGGTATTGTTTCAAACGTGATGGTGATATTTGACATGCGAGGCCAGTCGTCAGTGTTGCCTGTTTTTCTCCAGCCACATTCCACTGTAGGCAGACAGATTCAGGGTAAGCGGGGCGGTTGAGCCGGCCAGCACTTCTGCCCCGCAGCAGGTACAGCACAGCAGGAGAGGGCGGGAAGCTAGGGGAGGATGTGGTGGAATCATTTGTCCAAGACACACCCGGACAACCCCCCTGCGCCCTTCTCCGGGCAACCCTCGGCCCATCTTCTGCTCTTCACGTTGGTCGTAATGAACGACGTTGCATATACAGGTGTCAGTTTTCAGGACACTGAGAATCACTACCACAGTCTCTCTCCACACTTGTTTATAAGACAGCCGTAACACGCCGGGTGCTGTCCTTGTGGCATCTCCCTCCTACAGCAAGCAAGGCACTTCTTTATGAACTTCCTGCAAACCTGCAAACGACCTGACTGGCATCTTCCTAATAAAACGGATACAATTTTAATTTTATATAAGAAAATGGATGAAAAATTACTTTTACAGTATTGCTTTTATAGTATTATTTTAACATCTCTCCAAATAATTAATGACATCAATTAATTCACTTTCTGTTTGGACACAGGACACTCCTGCAAACTTCTGAGGAAGAACATGGGAATGATTGTTATAAATGAAGGCTCTCTTGATGTAAGTAAAATCATCTCTAAAAAAAGGTCTTTAACAACTTAATCATCTTGTAGTATTTTACTTTATATTCAGATAGCTGCGAAAACATTTTGTCGTCCTGAGGTTAAAAGATACCTTATGACTACCATTCTGCTGTAATACAATGTGTGCCGTTTTGAACCATGAGGATGTGAATAGATCCCCGCTTCCTGTCTGTGGCAGGCAAAGGAGGGTGCTTACTGCCATGAGACAGCACCACTGCTTTACAGCAGCTCCATGGCTCCTGAGCGATGGCAGCTTCTTCATATCTCTCTGGGTGTTTTGTGTGTGATGCATTTATTGCTAATATTCCGCTTTCACTTCCAGTGATAACATATAGTTGGCTTCTTTTTAAAAAAAAAAAGCTGTGAACACTATTGAACAACACAAAGTAACCATTGCTTACAGGAGAGCTTGTGTTGTTGTTGTTGATGTTGTTATTTATTAACATTCCAAACCCTGGGCTGAAATACAAATTTCTAGGAAGTCATTTTTCATGTTTGTGGCCACCTGAATTTATATTTGGGAAAGGGAGGAGGATTGGTTAGGTGCACATGGAGAAATAGACGTTAACAAAGACATATGTAGGTTGAATGACCGGAAAATATTCTGAGGTAAAGGTTACTATTTGTAACGTAAGGTGGAGGACAGAGTGAGAGAGGTGGCCGTACAAGTGCTTGAAATAGTCGCTGTGAGCCAGAGAGCAGAGCAGAGGAAACCTGATAATTCAGGCTGTCGGGGAATTATCCTATGTCGGGGCAAAGAGGCCGATGTTTAGAAGTCGGGTGTAGAACGGGAATTATGTGTAAGAAGTGGTTGTCTTTCTGTTTTTCAATTGGAATGATGATCTCTCATTATCTGTCCTCAAAACAATCCTTGTGAGGATATCTCGCCCTTCCTTGTGACATCTTTGAGCCAACTTGTCGCCTGAGGAAAAAATACGTGATTCTGCAAGCATGAAAGTTGCTTCCGCCTTTAACTGCTGGAAGAGTACCTTTTGTGAACCAAGCTCTATTCCTAAAAGCACAAACCGAAAGAAAGTCAGCCTGCTGTTTGAAGACTTTCCGTTCTGTTTATTCCTTCAGGAGGGCCCCTGCTAGGCCCTGGGAACCGCAGGCTCTGCCCCCTTAGGGCTTCCAGTTGTCTCCACGCTCCACCCCTCCCATGTGTTAATTTGGGTTTATTTACCGAAGTTACTATGCTGTGAAAAATTATGACCAAGACAGCCCAGTCTTCCAAAAGCTTATAAATAATAAAGGAAATAAAAGGCAGACAAGTAACTGTACAAAACAGCTATGTAAATAGAGCAGCTTTTCTGCTACGAAAATATTGTGAAGTTTAGGGAAGTATTATAAAGTAAGTGGCATTTAGATAGAGGTGAATAATTGAGTAAGGGAGGAGTACTTGGAGCAGAAAATCATTGCAAGTCAGTTCATATTTGAGGCACGAAGGAGGTACATTGAACTTGAACACAAGAGTATAATTTTTGAAGTATTTTTGTGTAAATAAATATAGGCACAGAATGTAAACTTCAAGTTAGAAAAAGGGAAAAGTACAGATGGTAAAAAGTGTATCTCCCAGCCTTATACCCAGCTTTATCTTCCTAGGCACGGCCACTAGTTCCAGTTTCTTGTGTTCATCCAGAGATATTCTGCCTTATCTAAGGGACATATGTGTATGTCTCTGCACACATCCTCTGTTGTTAAACACAAATGACAGCAGACTGTTCATACTGCTTTATACTTTGGTCTTCTCACTTAATGTATCTTAACGGTTGTTCCGTAATAATATGTATGAAGCTATCTAATTCTATTTCATGGCGGCTCAGTATTTATAAGGTGTCAGGAAAGAAATGACACCGGGAGTTAAAACTGGAAGGCAGCCGGAGGGCAGGTGTGGGAAACTGGGCCAGGACTGAGAATTTGCCTGCGCAGGTAAGAGGACAACTTCATCAGCCTCTAGAAAGAGGTAAGATGTGTATGAGCAAGTGTACATAGGCAAGTTTGGAAGGGTGGGGAGGCACAGGGTGCCGGCGGAGGACCAGGACGAGCGTTCAGTAAAAAGAAATGGGGGCTTCAGTACCAAGATATGGGGCAAGAGACATCCGGGGGGACCTGTCCCCCATGGTCCCTAGAGAAGGAGCCATCCAGGTGGTTCCAGAACTGGGTTGTTGCAGGAGGTCACAGCTTTGCAAAAACCTCAGCGGAAGCATTCCCTTAGCCCCTGTAGACAGTTAGTTAGGTCTTTGTCCACAACATGGGTTGGCACAGGACACGGTTTTTCTGACACTTCAAGGAAATCAGAGGTAGGACCTGTGACGTTGAGACAAAAGCATGAGAAGCCATGCTTGATCTGACCTGTGATCCCTTGGGTCTGGAGCCAGGCCTTCACCTGACGCAGAATGTGGTGGCAGTGTTTCTTTTGTTGTCATCTGTTTCATCGTTTTCTGCAACTCATAGCTAAACATGTTCTTCAGGTGTTTTAAGTGTCATGTAAATAGGAATCTCGAGAAAAAAGTAAAATGCCAAAAATATTCAATGTACTGCATCGTTCATTGTTAAGACAGTGGCATTTATTTGACATTTAATTTTATTTTGAAGTTTCCAAGAGGGTAAACTGCAGTATCATAAACACCTCAGAGGTCTCTGTGCTGGAAGAAACGGAGATGGGGGTCCCCAGGCAACGCACCGTGTCGGGGAAAGCAGGGACCGCGTCTCGTCTCTTTGGATTTACCCTTCCCTCTCAGTGCTCAGAAAATCGCCTAGCATGCAGGAAGTACTCCATCAATATTGGAGAAGTCAGTCACTGAGTAATTTTAATTAGGGGCTTTCTTTAAAAAAAAACAAAAAAGTTGTATATCAGTTTTAAATTTAGTAATAATCAACCATATCTGATATTTACAAAGTAAAGCGATTAACGATGTCCTTTGCAATTCCAGTGTCAGTCTGGTGTGGAAGCTCACAGGCGAACGCCATGGCTGAGTGCATAGCACTAATTTGCCCAGCTCCCAGACTGCCAGGCGTTCTGGCCCCGCTGCCTCAGGGAGGGCGTGCTCCCAGGGAGCTGAGTGCTGACTTTTTCTCCCAGGGAGTGAAGTTAATCTGGCTGTTTAGGGTCAGACCTGCTCTGGTGCACTCATTTGCTTCTCAGCAGGAAAGGAAACATCACTTTGCATAGCTCCCTCAGATCTTATGTCATTAACTCCATGGCTGAGATTTCAGGCAAATCATTAGATGTGCTAGAATGCCCGTGGGTAAATCATTACTTATTTTTTCACTGCCATGGAAAAGAGAGCATCAGATTGTACTGATGATAATAAAGCATGGGCTTGCCATTCCATCAACAAAAGGAATAATTAACATTTAAGTAATAAATTTAGGAACCTAATGTCTTAGGACATAATATAAGGAGAAATAAATTGTGGATGTGTGTTTTGTCAAGTGACAATTTTAATGAATGTACTCAAATTATTCCATGACATAACATAGTGTTTAAGAGCACTATTCTGCTCTACCCAGAATGGGGACCCCAGGCAAGTTGAAATTAGATAACTTCTCTGAAGCAGTTTTGCTGCCTATAAAGTGTGGATAATGTTACCCTTGGTATACAATTAGTACAGCACATGGTACATATAAAAATGAGATGTTATGAAACTTTGTAGAAGAAGAATATTTCAATAGCTTGCAAGTTGTTTTGAACAATGCTCTTTTTATTTTAAAAAATATATTATTTTCCCATCTTTTAATTATTTTCCTAAGGTAACAAGTTATAAATGTAGATCCTCTTTTATATAAGTGATGTGTATTGCTATGAAATGGTCACATTCTCTACCACGATATCATCTCTAATACTGTTAAAATATTAAAGCAGAGCTTGTTGTCTTACGTTGAACCTGTACAACTAACGTGTCATATTTAAGGCTCCTAGATTTCCAAATAGAAAAACCTTTCTCCTGGTAGTAAAAAAAAAATCTGTGTCTTCCCAGAACCCAGCTCATCTCAAAAAAGAAATTCCATTTGGCTTTCTAATTTCCTCATTTTGAGTTTCAAGATGATTATCCTTCTCAAAAAATTAATGGCTGTTCAGCATTTTTGAAAACCTTTAAATAAACATTATAAAACCAAACTACAGCTGGAAATGCAAGCAAAGCAAAGGGAAGCCTTGATCTGCAGACGGAATGAGGCAACTGGCCCGTCCTGTCTCCTCTGCCCAGGCAGCTCCCTCTGTGACAAGAGCAGCCACCGGGGCCAGCACGGCGCCCAGGAGCACAGCTGGCCTTCCCACCTGGCACCTGCAAGCTAGTGTCAAATGTTGCAGAGTCAACTAAAGTGTTTCTTAGAAAGCTGATCTTTTTTTTTAATTTAGAAAATAAGAATTTCATGGATGAGCATCACTAAGAATCATCTAAATTTGGTCAAAATCTAGCAGATACTTATAATAAATAGATAAGGTGTAATTTGTGTAATTGTTTATCACACTACTTTGAACCACTTTATTGGGGGATTCTGATTATGTCCTTGGTATAAGACATTTTCTTAAGGGTCTAAATGACAGAAATGTCAAATTAGTGGCTTGAAAGGGGTTCATTGTACTTCTTCCCTAACTGGACCCAGAACTTCTCAGAAACCCCTTCCACTTAATGACCTGGATCCAGGAGATTATTCTAGTATCTATTTCATAGCTTTAGACTGTCATAAAGTAGTTCGTTCAAACAGATTTGTTTAAAGTCTGTTAAAACTGGAAACATGTAGAAATGTAAACTAGGAACTAGAGACTCCCATATGTCATCTATTTTTACCTCCCAATGTCTACCTAAGATCTTTAGAAAGGTTCTAAAACAATTCTGTCAGGATTGGGATTTTGCTACATTAAAGACTATGATTGTTATTTTATTCAAATCCCCTTAGGATACCAACTCTGTGAATCTCTGGAAACACTTTCAGGTGACTCAAAATATTATTTTTGAAGACCTGTTTCATTGA